CCCTTGGGGGACGCCTTCCATCCTCAGAGCTTGCGAAGACCAACCCACCCCCTCCCAGCGCCACGCCCGCACCGTCCCCGACACCCCCGGTACACCTGTCCACTGCCTCTGGACACCTGCTGGACATGTCCATGGTGAAGAGGAAGAGCAGAGCTATTGCTCACACTTGACGCTCGCTGTCTCCCTAAACCCGTCCATCGGGCATCCACACGCCTCGTGAAACCTGGCAAGTCCTCCAACACCGGACGCAGCACCGTATCTTCTCCACTTGACCTTCGAAATAGATCCATTCTCCCTTCTGCCACTGGTGTCTCCGCCTGTGCTCCCCCAGTGCCCACGCCAGGCCCCCAACTAGCTAGTCCGCACCCTCCAGGAGTTCCACACAGCCGTGGGTGCGATGAATGGAGCATAAACGCAGACAGTCATCTGCTTAAAACAATGCTAACGTCTTCCTGCCACACAGTTCGGGGGCACCTTTGTATTTTTTTCTTTTACTTTTTTGAAAGAAAAAAATTTCAATTTTATTCTTAAATCACCAGACTTATATACTAATGGGATATGCCATCCACTGGGCACCACATGAGTTCCCAGACTTTGAAACCAGATAGAACATGGCCACCTTCATGTCCTCTTCCAGGTCGACTTATTTTTTATTTTACTTTTTTATTGTGATAAAATATATATGGCATAAAACTTACCATTTCAACCGTTTTTACCTGTATAAAAGTTAATGGAGTGAAGCACATTCATGTTATTATGCACCCACCCCCACCACTGTCTCCAGAACCTTCCATCTCCCCACACAGAGACCCCATCCCCAAGAAGCACTGACCCCTCGCCCCCTGCCCCACCCCTGGCTCCCACCACCTCCCACCACCTCTCTGTGGATGGGCCTCCTCTGGGAACCTCCTGGGAGTGGGGCCATCGTGCAGGAGGTGTCCTTCTGGGTCTGAGTCCCTTCCCTGAGCTCGGTGTCCTCAGGGTCTGTCCACGTGGGCGCAGGTGTCAGATGTCTTTCCTTTCTCAGGCTGAGTAATATTCCAGATGTATGAATGAGCCCCATCATATGTTTCCATTCATTTGTTTGATGGACATTTGGGTTGTGTCTACATTTTAGCAATTGTGAATAAAGCCGCTGTGAACATGGGCATTGCGTTGCTTTTTAAAAATTTATGTCATCCACATACCAAAACATTCACTCTTTAAAGTGTATAATCCAGTGGTTTTCCGTGTATTCAAAAGTTGTGCAACCATCACCACGATCTAATCTTAGAACATTTTTTCTCCCCTCAAGGAAACCTGTCTCCATTAGCAGTCACCCCCACGAGCCCCCTCCCATCCGTGGAGGAGCCCATCCTGGACTTGTCACACACATGGACTCACACCCCATGGGGCCTCTCCTGTCACTGGTTCCCTCCCTGAGCGTCGTGGGTTCAGGGTCCATCCCCGGGGTGGCACGTGTGGGCCCCTCGCCCCTGTTCGCGGCCAGCATTCCCATGTGTGGATGGACACACTGTGTGTATTTATCCATCAGCTGAGGGACATTTGGACTGTTTTGAGTTTGGGGTTGTTTTGAATAAGGCTCTTATGGATCTGCACCTCCAAGTTTGGGTGTGGACCAGATGTCATTTGTCTTGGGTACACACCTGGGGTGAAATCGCCAAGTCAGACGGTCACTCTGCTTAACTTTTGGAAGAAGTCGTCCACAACAGCTGAGTCATGGTGCGCCCCTACTAGCAGGACAGGAGGGCTCCAGTCTCTCCCATCGCCACCAACACTTGTTATTGTCTGCTTTCTTTGATTCAGCCCATCCTAGCAGGGCTGAGGTGGTGTCTCATCGTGGTTTTGATTTGCATTTCCCCAGTGACTAATGACTATTGGGCAACTTTTTTTTTTTTTTTTAGATTTTTTTTTTTGGGGGTATATCTTTTTCTGGAGAGATATCTATTAAAATCCTTTGCTCATTTAAAACAATTGGTGATTTTGTTTTTATTGTTGGGCTTAAGACTTCTTTATAGATTCTGAGCAGCAGACCCAATCATATCTATGATTTGCAAATATTCTCTCCCCTTCCGTGGGTTTTTCTTTCACTTTCTTGATGGTAGCCTCTGAAGCACAAAAGTTAAGAAACGCAACTCTGACAATACTTTAAATTTCATTATAAACAATATATGCATTGGGGCACCTAGCCAGCTCCACCAGGAGAGCATTTGACTCTTGATCTCGGGGTCGTGAGTTCGAGCCCCACATTGGCCATAGAGATGACTTAAAAAAAAATTCATGATGCAAAAGTCAAAAGATCAAAGATAGTGAACAGAAAGTCTCTGACCCTGCTCCCCATCCCCCCCTACTTCTCCATCCCAGAAGCAACCCCTGCTTATGGTGACAAGAATGATCTGCTCCAAATATATGAATTTGCAGCCTGGCCAACATGACTCGAATTCAAGGCCATCCATTCACTCGCTGTGTGCCTTTGGCAAGTCATGTGCCTTCCCTGGGTCCCCGTGCTGTCAACCTGTCCATCAGGAATGATCATCCTTGCTACACAGAGGGACAGAAGTTGCATGCAAAGGTAGAACTCAGAAAACCGGAGCTGATGTTACTTTGTACCCTGGGACAAATTTGTTTTGAGACAAGTGTGCCAAGTATTTGTTGGTTTGCGTGTTGTTTTACTGCTAAGATGGAGCTTGTCTTGACACACTCCGTAAACCTTTTTGCCAAGTTTATCTTACGGGGGTTTGCCGATGAAGTAAAAAAAAAAAAAATATGCATTGAGCGTGTGTGAACTTTTCATCTTTGAAATGTGGGTTTCATCGTCGTCTTGGCCAGGAACAGGAGCGGGGTTTGGCCCAAACAGTAGTAATCATGTCAATATAATAACATCTATCGTGTATGGAGGGCCTCTCTCCTGCCGCACCGTGGGGTTTACGAATGTTACAGGTACCATCTTAGTCTCCCCCTTGTTACAACCCTTCAGGAAGCCTCTATCAATATTCTCTGTGAAGGACTCTGAGGATCAGAGAGGTCAAGTAATCTGCCCAAGGTCACACAGTAACTCAGTCCTTTAGAACTCTATTAGCTTTTAAAATAGTATCTACTTGGGTATATTTTTTTGGGGGGGAGGGGAGGTCTGGACAAAGCTTTGCCTCTCTCTTTGTTTTTACTTCAGGGACAGGAGTGAGCATGGGAGATCGGGGTATGCCATCCTGAGGGACCCCCCCCACCCCCAGCCCTCCTGGCAGGGTTCAGAGCCAGGTGGATGCTGGATTTGACATCCCGGCTCATTGTCCCTCTCTGGGCCTCAGACTTTGCTGGAAATCATATCAGTCCTGCTTCTTCTGGGGCACGTTGAGGATTAGATTCAATGCCAAGCTTCTATAAGCATTCCCTGCCCCTCTGAATCAGGTCATGGGGTGTAGAGAAACGGTGCGGGATATTCCAAGCTAGGTGGTACAAGAGGGGAAACTGAGTCACTCCTGTACTGGCCCAGTGGGCGGAGCTTGGGGGTGGGGGTGAGGTGAGACCATTCAGGAGTGAGGACCCCGGCTCTCATTATCCGGGGGAGTCCAGGCACAACCCTGAGACCTGAGACCTGCGAATTGTCTCTCTGCCCGGCCCTCTCTAATCCCAAAGCTGATGGCAGGGTGGCATAAGGAAGGAAGAAGGGCTTGTGTCCCAGGCAGGGTCGTTAGAGCAAAGTCCCGGGTTCCACCCTCACACGGGACCCACGTGGCCCCTCCCTCAGTCCCTTCCCACCGACTGGGGGCTGGTTTCAGGCTGCAAGTCCCCGGGCTGTCACTTCCCCTCTGGGGGCCTCCCGGGTTTCCCCTTGAAGCCAAATTATTATTACAAAAGCCGATTCAACCCGTTTGGGAGTTGAAAGGCGCCTTTAATATGTTGTGCGTAGAAGTAATAAAGTACAAGGGGCGGTGGGACGCTTTGAAGTCGCAGAAGGACGGACCGAGTCCCCTTCACCCACCGCAGCGCAAGCTGCCTGCCCGTAAGGCAATGGTGGTAGCGATAATAGCCATAGACGAGCGTAATGCGATTAGATGTCGGAATGGAGGTAAACAGGACCCCGGACAGAGCCAGCCACTCGAGAGGCGCGCAGGCAAAGGCAGCTGGAAAGCAGGTGCCGGCCCTCTCCGCGCAAGGCAGGGAGGAAGGGGAAACTGAGGCCCGGCGCACCAGCCCTCGCGCCCCCGCCCCGCCCCGCCCCCGGCGCCTGCTGCGTGCGGCGGGCAGCGGCCGGGCCGGGTCAGGCCGTTCTCAGCGCTCGTCCCCTCCTCCCCCTCCCCCGGCCCCCGCCGGACCTCTCCCACGACCGGGGAGGAAGTGGGAGAAACGGACGGAGAAAAAAGTTGGGTCGGGCCAGCGCCGCCGCGCTCCCCATCGCCGCCCCTGCGGAGCCACGCAGACCCTGGCGCGGGCGGCCCGCAGGACCCAGGCGTCCGGGGCCCGGCGCCCGTCCAGCCCCGCGGCCCGCCGCCGGGTGGGGGAGCTCGGAGAGCCGGGAAAACAACCGCCCAGCCCGCCCCTCGCCAACCCCTTCCCCCGCTACGCCCCCGGCGCGGCGGGCGGAGGCGACTCTTTTATATAATCGCGGGCGGGCAGGTTGGCCGCTGCATTTAGGGACGCGGGAGCCCGGCGGACCCGCGGCGTCCCTGGAAAGCCCGCGCCCGGGGCCCCTCCGCCGCCGGGCAGAGCGCGGCCTCGGGAGGGCCGGCGCCCGGCCCGGGTCCCCGCGCGCTCGCCCCCCGCCCCCGCCCCCGCCCCGGCCCCCGCCCCACCCCCGCAGCCCGCGCCGCCGCGACCCACGCCCGCGCCGGTCCTCGCAGTGCGCGCAGCCCTCCCCGCCCCCGCTGCCATCCTGCCACGCCCCGGGCGTCGGGGGCACAGCCCGCGCCCCCCCGCGCCCGCCCCTGCGCAGAGGCTGGGGGCCTGTTTATCTGGAGGCCCCCACCCCCCTCCACCCCGGGGGGCCCGCCCCCCCCGCGCCCCGGGGAGCTCTGGGGCCAGATAAGCTGGCAAGCTGGCACGGCGCCGCGCAGCGGGGCGGAGAGGTCAGAGGAGGGGGGCGCGCCGGGGGCGGGCTGGACCCCCCCCCAACTTGACAAAACCTAATAACAGCCCGGTCTCCCCGGCGCGGCGGGCGAAGCCCCACGGGAGGGCAGAGACGTGGCAAGAGGGGACCTGCCGAGCCTGTTCTGGCCTCCGAGGCCGGGGTGGGGGGGGCGGGCTGGGCGTGGGGGGGGGCCGGCGGCTGCGGCACCTTTAAGACAAGGGAGGACCCCTCTTGCCCTCGGAGAAACCAGGAAGGGAGTCGCGAGCATCATACGGGGCTTTGGCTGTACTGTACAGTTACTGTAGGGCAGTGACGCCGCCGCCGCCGCCGGAGCGAGGGAGCGACGAGGGGAGAGCGCGAGAGGCGAGAGCCGGAGACGCCGACCCCGGAGGCGAGCGGCCGAGGAGCCCAGTCGCAACTCCGGGCCCCGGCCCCTCGCGCCCCGGCCCGGCCCGGCCCCGGCCCGGCCGCGCGAGGTAAGTCAGCGCCCGGCGCGGCCCCCCGCGCGGGGTGCAGGGCGGGGACGGGCCGGGGGCGCTGCGCCCACCTCTGCCCTCTCGGGGAGGGGGGATACGCGGAGCCGCCGACGCTCCGCAAGTAGTTCTGAGGAGGGGGTGGCTGGCAGCTGCCCGGAGGCTGGAGGTGCCCTGGATCCCGGGCGCGGGGAGGGGGCGCCGCCCGGGGAGGGGGGTTGGGGGCGAAGTGCATGGGCTTGTGCCCCGGCCTGCCCCCCCCCACTCGAGTGCACGGCTTTTCGGGGATCCCAGGCGCGCGGGGAGCGGGGGAGGGAAGCGGGGCCGCATCGAGGGTGGGGGAAGCCGGCGTGGGGAGATAGGGGGGCGCGTCGCGTGCTAAGTTTGCAACGAGGCGCTGGGGGTGCCCTCGCCCCCCGGGGGCCTATTCGGTGCTGCGTGCATACGTTGGAGTTGGCCAGGATTGAGCTCCATGGGGGATGGGGGGGAGGGGGCTGAAAAAACAGGGAGGGGGGCTTTGCAAAGGAGGGGGAAGGGGTGGAGTGTCCCGGTGGGCGGGCGCGGCCGCGGCGGCTTCTGGACGTCGTAGTCCCCCCGTCGCTTGCGGCCGGCAGGTGGCAGGCGGCTCGGACTACAAGTCCCAGGGTGCCTCGCGCCGGCGGCCCGCCGCGGTCCGCGGGTAGGGGCGGTGCGGAGGAGGGGCGGTGAGCGGCGGGCCCGCGGACCAATGGGCGCGGAGCGATCGCGCGGCGCGGCGCGGGGGCGGGCCGAGCCGGCCCGGGGGCGGGGCCTGAAGCCGGGCTCCCCTCGCCGGGGGCCGGTGGCGGTCCCCGGCTTCCGGCTGCGCGGCCCGCGGGCCGGCCCCCTCCCCGCCCCGGGGCCCCTCCCCGCCTGGTTGTGTAACCGTCCCCAGCCCCCCTCCCCTCGGCCCCCCGCCCCGGGGGGGGGGTCACCCACCCGGCGCTCCCCGGGGAGGGCGGCGGCCCGAGCGGCCGCGCGGCGCAAGCGAGCCCGGGGATGCGCGGCCTAGTGCAGGCCGGGCCCGGGCGTGGGGGAGGCGGGCGGGCGGACCCAGATCCGGGGTAATTTGCATCGCCCTCCCCCCAGCCCGGGTGGGGATTGGCCGCCGGCGGCGGGGGGTGGCGCGGGGCCAGGCTCACTGCCGCCTCCCGGCCCCTCGGAGGGAGCCAGCCCAGCCGCAGCCGCCGCCACCGCCGCCGCCGGGGCCGGGCCCCCTCGCCGCTGCCCCGGGAAGGAGGTAGGAGCCCCCCGCGCGGGCGGCGCGGCGGGGGCCCGCGGGCCGGGCGGGGGCCGCGCGCCGCGGCCGGGGCGGGGGAGGGGGCCGCTTCCTGCCCCCGCCCGGGCCTGACTCAGCCCTGGGTGGGGGGACCGGCCTGGCCCCTTGCCCCGCCCGCGCGGCCAGGCGGCTCCGGCCCCCGGGGAGGGGGCGGGGAGCACCCCAGTCCTCCCGCCCGCGCCCCCAAAGCGCGTGACCCCGTCTCCTGCGGCCCGGACCCCCCTCCTTCCCCTTGACGCCACCACCACGTGCGAACCCTGAGCCCCGGCAGAGGAGGGGGTGAGCTGGTGGGATCCGGCCCCCCCCCCCCCCCCCCCCCCGCTCTTCCTCCCTCCCTGGCTTGGGAACCAGCCCCCTCCCCCTGCCGCAGGCCTGGGAACCCGGCAGGGGCCTGAGCCGGGCGCCGGGGCCGGTGCACCCCCAGGCGCAGGCCTTTGCGGGTTCTGGGAGGCTCTGCCCGCGCTGGCTGGCTGCGGGGGAGCTCGGTGGACCGCAGCGAGAGACTGCTGTCCGACCAGGCTGGGGCACCCAGTGGGCGCCCACCAAATGTTTGGGGAATGCAGCCAGCGGTGGAGTGAGCGGCAGGGGGAGGCAGACAACTCCTCTGTCTCCCCCTAGCCGGGCGGCGGAAGTGAGAGGGCTGCTGGTGCCCCTTCCCCGGGCGTGCCCACCTGGTTCACCCATGGGTGGCAGGCTTGGTTTACTCCCCCCTCCTCCTCCCTGCCAGCTGCCTCCGGGAGCAGGGCCGGCTGGAGAGGGCATCCGGGATTCCATGTCAGCCCCCCCCCCAACAACACGGCCAGGGCGTAACCCTGAGTGTGCCGCTCCCACACTGGGGGGGCCTCCGCAGGACCAGCCGATCACTTCCTATTGGCAGAGCTGGTCTTGGGAGAGGTCCGGGGCGCCCAGGCCGGGCCCTGCTGCGGCCCGATGGAGGGCTGCAGGCCGCGGGTATCTTCCCCTCTGGGGGCCACCCCCCCGCCCCCGGCGAGGCCCCTGGAGCACACCGGGCCTGGCACTTGTCGGCTGGGCTCGGGGCTCTGTTTACCGCCAGCCATCGCTGTGGAGACGGGAGCCTAGGGGAGGGGGGGGCAGGAGCCGGTGACTGGAGGAGCGAAGCCCTGGGATCCGCATGCCTAATGAAGGAAAGAGGAGCCAACGGGGACACTGAAATTTTAATTCGTGGGTCACTTTGGGGGGGTATTTATTATTCAGTTCTGATTGGCTGCGTGGTGACCAGTCAGCACCCTGGCCCGGGCCGGGAGCCACGAAACTCTCAGCACGGGCAGGCCTTAGGAGAAGCAGCACTAGGGTGGCCGCAGGGAGCCCAAGCACCCTCTTCTCCGCGGGGGATACTGAGGCCTGGCAACGCTCAGCCTCCGTCCGGCGGGGCAGGGTCCCGGGGCAGTAGCAAGGGGCCTGTGTTCGCTTTTTTCCCCTTGGTTTCTCTTCCTTGGGGCCCCCTGACCCGCGGCTGGTCCAGGCCAGTGGCAGCCCCCGATGCCCCCTTTGCCCTGCGAGGGAGCCCAGCAGGGGGCTTGCGGAAACCCTCCGAGCGGGTGCCCAGCACGTGCCGGCGCTGGGCGGGGGAGACCGAGGCCTGGGGGGACACAGAGAGCAGCCCAAGGTCACCTAGCTGGAGCTGGGTCTGACCATCGTGGTCCTGCCTCTCGGCTCAGGATGAGGCCCGGGTGTCCTTCCTCTCTGCTGAGGGACGGCCGCCCACCGTCTTCCAGAGAGCCTGGGGGTTGAGAGCGGGCACCTGTAGGCCAAGGGGAGCTTTCCTGGGGCTCCTGAAACCCTTTGCCCAAAGAGGCCAGGGAGGCTCAGAGAGGGCCAGCAAGGTGCCCAAGGTCACACAGCACCGGCCGCGTGCACTCGCCTCCCAGCCTTCTGTGGCAGGCACTTTTATGGCTTGCCAGCGCCTTTCCCACCCCCTCCGCGCCACAGTCCCGCACCTTGGCCCCTGGAGACGGGCAGGGCTCTGGGTTTTATGACCCATTTTACCCAAGATGACCGAGGTCACCTCGCAAAAGCCACGTCTCAGGGCCAGCCCCTGTGCAGCAGAGCTGGCCCGACGTCTCCCGGGGTTCCGACTGCCGGCCCCCTGGCTATTGCATGACTTCGGACAAGCCCCTGGGCCTTTGGGGGTCTGGGTGTCCCCCTAGGTAAATTGGGGCTTATAGGGTCCCCGGTGGGTGGTGCCTGCAGATCCACCTGTGTTCTCGTTCTTTCCCCTGCTCTTGGACGGAGCACCTGGGTCAGCTCGGGGCACAACCAGGATTCTGCGGGAGTATGTGGCCGGTCGAGCCACTTGAGACACGCGGCACCCCCCACCTGTCACCTGGCGCTCCAGGCACCTGAAGGAGCATAAACCGCCCTGCAACAGCCCTGGGCGGTGGGGCCAGAGGAACAGGCTTGGGTGGGGGCCAGTGTGGTCCAGTCGCGGCCCGGCCCTCACCTCCACCTGGGGTTTACCTGGGGAGATCACTACCCCTCTGTCAACCTGTCTTGCTGCCAGCCCGAATCTGTGGTCCTGAGGGTTTAGCCCGGGGTTCCCCAGGAGCCTGTGCAGGGTCCCTGGCGTGCGGGGTCAGGGCCCGGGCGAGCCCCTCCTGCCCTCTCCTGGTGACCAGGGGTCAGCCGACTCCAGTCCTGCCCCAGGCTCCCTGTGTGACCTCAGGCAAACCTCTCCCTTCCCTGGGCTATCACAAGGCAGCTCTGAGGGGGCGTGGGAATAAGCTGTCCTCGGCCCCAAGGCCCCCCCCCCGGGGTAGGGGGTTTAGTGCCTTGCTGGTGCCTGGAGGCAGCGTGGAGGAGGGGGCACGGAGCCACGGTACAGAGCCAGGGGGCTTGTGTTCCCGGTCAGCTCTGCGATGTGACCCTGGGCCAGTCACCTCCCCCCTCTGAGCCTGTTTCCTGACCCGTAAGGTGGGGCATGACGGCAGACCCCGTGAGGCTTGATGTGGAGATGATCATGATCAGCCCCTGGACCCCGACCCCCAGCCTGTTGAGGAGCAGCCCTTGCCCTCGGGCCCCAAGTCCTGAGTTGGGAGCACCAAAGTGGGAAAGGTGCCCTGCGGAGAATCCGGCGCTTGTGAGGAGCGTGGCCAAAGGACCAGCCCCTCCATCTGTCCCCCCAGCAGGCTGTGAACGGCCACTCAGTGGAAGTGTCCCCACCCACGCCTTTCTGGTTTAACTGGAAAACAAGGTCCCGTCCCACCTCCCGTCAGGATGTGTTTGATGGCGGGTTTGCGGGCACAGGACTCGAGCTTCCCCGCGCCTGGGGCTCCCAGGCTGAGCCCTCCACCTGCCCAGGCTGGGGGCGGGGCGGGGGCGGAGCGGTGCAGGTACCTCCTGGTAACAAGCAGGCCTGGGGGAGGGAGGGAGAGGTCTGGAGGTAGAGGGGAGTACAGCTTCTGGAGGCCACGCAGGCCTCTCCTGGGCATTTCGTACCAGCAGGTGCAGCCCGAGCAAGGGTGGGATAGGCAGTGACGGGATTCTGGGATTCTGCGAAGCCTGGCTTTGCTTACCCCGGGTGATGGGAAGCTCATTCCTTCTAACTCACCACGAATGGCTTCGGTCTTCCCGGGGCTTCCTCTTGGAACCCGGTACTGGGGTCAGGGCTGTCACTTCCTGAGCCCTGCCGGCTTGAGCGTGGGAATAGGGCGAGCGTCAGCCCCGCCCGTGAGTGGGGGGTCAGATGGGGTCCCCTTGACCTCCTCGGCGCCCCTCCCCCCGCACACACTTCCCACTGGGCCCGCAGCCTTCCTGCCTCTGGCCCTTTAAGGGCTGGGCAGGAAGCCCCTCCCCATTTAGGGCAATAAATGGACACAGAAAATGGCCGAGGGCCCGTGTGCTGGTGCCGGCCTGCAGGGAGGCCCGGAGGACAGGGCGGGCGGCAGCCGGGCCACGCCGGGCCGCTGGTGCCCCCCACTCCCTAATCGGGACACTGCATTCCTGTCCCATTAAACCCCAGCCCGGGGACCGGGCCAGGCAGGGATTGGCACCAGGTCAGGGCGGGGTTACCCGTTGGGACCAACCTTGCAACACAGGCCGCTGGCCTGGGAGGGGGTGGGGGCGGCTGGGCGTGGGCCTGGCAGCCGCACCTGGGCACCAGCCTTGCTGGGCGACCTTGGGCCGGCCACCCGCCCTCTCTGGGCCCGGTTTTCCCCTCCAGGTGACGGCTCCTGTGCCCTGGCTTCCACCTGCCCCCCCACGCCCCCTCTCCCTTGACACACAGTAGGTGGGGAGGGGCCCGACTCCTGCACTAAGGCTCAGAGGTCAAGTTCAAGGCCGCCCATCCACGCCCATCCACGAGGGGAGGGTCGCTAAACAGCCTCACTGGGCCTCTGGGGCCCGGGTCCGGCACACAGTAGGTCCTCAGGCAGAGCGCCCAGTGGGCGAGAGCGGGGCCCGGAGCCACTGTCCTGCCCCCGAGGCCAGTGAGGCACCGAGCCATGCCTCCCGCCCCGGGTCCAGCGCGTGGCAGCGGGAGAGCGGGGACTCGGGCCCTGGCTGCTGTGCGTGGCACACAGTAGGTGCTAGAGGTCCCTCTGGTTTCCCGGCATCCTCTCCGTGGGTGGGGGACGGAGGGGCGCTAACTCCGCATCAGCTGCCCCCCAGCACTCCCCCGGGAAGGCCTCGGGTGCCAGTTACCTGCCCACCTGGTGCTGGCGGCCCCCTCTCCTTCCCGAGGAGAGGAGCGTGGGGAGGGGGAGGAGGCCGCCCCAGCCTCACCTTGCGCCTGACCTTGGGAAGCCCGGTGGAGGCAGCCTCCTTCCTTGTCCCTCTCCCGGGCGCCCACCTCCAGGCCTCGGCAGGGTGGCCATTCCCCGGGCTCGGGACACCCCTCCCACAGGCCCGGGGTCCCTCCCAGGTGACACCTGCTACTCCTGGGACCCGGGGAAGGTGCTCCCGACCTCACCCCGAGGCCCCGGCACTTGAGCGGCAGCAGCTCAGGCCCGAGGGTCAGCCCCAGCCCGGCCGCCCGTCTGCTGTGTGACCTTGCCTGGGTGTCCTCACTACTCTGAGCCTCTCCTCGTCTGCGGAGGCCTGGGCTTAGGGCTTCCAGCAGGAAGGATGAAGTAAAGGTGCCCAGTTAGTTCCTGAACCAGCCAGGGCTCAGGGGAGGCCCCCAGGAGGGTGGAAACCGGCCTGGGTAACTGCCGCCTGGGAAAAAGTGCAGCAAACGACCCTGGGTTAGATGGGAGGTGGGACCGGAGCCCGCCAGCTGGGTGGGCGGGGCCGGGTGTGGGCGCTCCAGCGCCTCGCTCTGTGGTCTTCGGTTCATCCGGTTTGCTGCGCCCCTACTGTGCGCCCGCAGCAGTGGGGGGGCGGGGACACAGAGGGAAGGGGTGCCCCACCTCTAGCCCGGGAGGAGCCTGCTGAGGCCTGCCCCTCGGCCGCCGAGTCAGCACCCAGCGCCCCGGAAATCCCACGGAGGCGAGCGCGGGGGCGGAGCTCTGATGAAAGACGGCCCGTGGGTGTGGGCCCGAGCCCTGGGGACCCTGGCCGCCCAGGGTGGGGACCCTGCCGGCGTGGGGGTGGGGCTTTCTGGAAGAGAGACGTTTGACTGGATCGTCGTCACCCAGGAAACCGCGTGGTGTGGGGGCACCTACTGGGTGCTGGAGCGCAGGAAGCCACGGGCTCCCCTGGTGCGGAGATGCAGTGGCGCACAGTGGGTGCTCAGCACACGCCCGCGTTTGCCGCGGGGAGCCCGCCTGACCCACCGAGGGGGCTCAGCTGTCTTCCTCTGGCGTCCTGCTTGGCCTTCTGCCTCCTCGTTGGAGGGAGGGCCCCGGAGGCCGGGTGGGGGCAGTGGCCAGGGCGTGGCGGGCAGGTGGCCTGTGTTCCTGGAGAGAGGGTGTGGGCCAGGTGTCTGCAGAGTTTAGTCTCCAGGGTGAGGGATGAGGGGAGATGGGAGGCCAGACCCTGAGGGTCGGGCTGGCCGGGCCCTGGCTGGGATCCCAGGTGTGTTCTCTTCTGTACGTGGGGGTCGCGCTGCTGGCCCGGGGGTTTTCTTTGGCTGGCATCGGTCTTCCCAGGCCTGGCCCTTTGGGGGACGATCCCTGACTGTTACGTAGGGAAGGAGCAGCTCTGGGACCCGGTGCAGCAGGCTCCACAGCCGCTGGAGACCCGGACCCGGGCTCCGTCCAGTGCCCCGCGCCCGGTCCGAGGCCCACGCTTGCTGCTCCCCAGCCGGGTGGCTTCCAGCGGCCGAGGGCCTGGGCATCTTCGCACACGAAGTAGGGCTGTGCCAGCCCCTTGCCCCGCAGGCCCAGTGCCCGTGGGAAGGCGGGGGTGGAGCGGCCGTGGAGGGGGCTGGTGAATCATCTGAACCATTTCGGGGCCCCTGGAGACATCCCAGGGCCCGAGGGGACGCTGGGCCACCTGGGGGGGCCATCTTGAGGCATCGGTGGCCTGGATCAGAAGGGGGTGAGGAGGGCCGAGGCCAGTCTGATCCGGAGCCCATCTGCCCACTCGCTCCCTGGGGCCTGGGGCCAGACAGCAGATGGTGGCAGGGGGTGGAAGCCGCCAGAGGGGCTCCTCCGAGGCTGAGCCTCAGATGGGGTCAGCCCCCCGTCCTCCTGCTCCCAGCAGCCACCTCTGAGCCTCCCCCACCCCCACCACGCGCTGGCGGAACAGAGGGGGGAACCGAGCAGCTGGTGTGGTCAGTGGGAAAGAGGGCGGGCCGCAGAGAGGCGTCCTGGGAAGTGTAGTGCCTGCCTGAGCGGCCACACAAAGGCGTCTGTGTCAACCCAGGGCCTGGACCCTGTTCCCAGGGCGGCCCAGGGTTGGGACGGTCCGGCCGGACCAACCCCGGGGTCCCGTGCCAGGCTGGCCCACTCCCGGCGGCGACGGGGATCTGGGTCCCAGCTGCGTCGGGCGGCTCCGCTCGGGAGGCTCAGGCTCCTGAGGTCCCTGGGGGGCCAAGGAAGGCACATTTTCGCGCCTCTCCCGGGACAGGTCCAGGGGCATTGTCCCCGAGAGCTGACCAGTTAGAGGAATGTGGGTTGTGTTGGGTGGCTTGGGGCAGCCGGGGGCTCCCCAGAGAGGGTGGAGGGGTGGGGACAGGAGCCAGAGGGTTGCACAAGCGCCCGAGTGGGTGGATGAGTCACAGCCCAGGGGAAGGCGGAAAAAAGGAATGGGGGAGACGGGCAGGACAGAGTGGGCCCCCCCCACGGCCAGCTCTTCCAAAGGTCTCTGTCCACTTGACACATGGGGAGACTGAGGCCCTGGGCTGGGCATCAGTGGCCAGGGTGGCCAAGAGTTGGGGAGGGGCTGGGTGGGCGTGAGGCGGACGGGAAGCCGCGGCCCCCTGCTCCTCCTTCAGGGGTTCAGTCTGGGTGGGCAGGGAAAAGGAGCGCCAGGCACTCCGCTGCTGCTGGCAGCCAGGCCAGACCCACGGCCCCGGGGGTCCTGGGGGCTCCACGGGGCAGGAGGGGTGGTGGTGCCGCCGCTGGCTCCCCCTCCAGGGCACGCCCACAGCCTGCTGACCCCGGCCCGGTCTCCGGGTCTCGGCCGCTCCCTTTCCCTCTGCCCCAGAGCCCCTCGAGGACCGGGCCTCGCTGGGAGGCAGGAGCGAGGGGCGGGGAGGCCCAGGGGCAGGGGGGGGGCGGTTGGCCCTGACCCTCGGGTCCTACACCCTGTTGGGCTGCAGCTGCGGGGCTGCGGGCACCGCTCTCCCCGCTGGTCCTGGTCTCCCGCCTCCACGGCGGAGACGGGGTGCCCGCGGGCTGCTGGGGGCTCGGGCCTGACGGCGCACAGGGGATGCCTTGCGTCCCGGCCTCCGGGAGGGGGTGCGGGCAGAAGCCAGCGCTCAGGTTCCTTAGGAAGCGAGTCGAGCGAGGCCTGGACCGAGCACCTGCGTGGGCTCCGGTACCGCCTCCGACCGTCCCTCGCACGGCCCGGGTGGAGGGGGGGTGCCCGGTCCGTGAGAGGCGGGACCGGCTGGGGAGGGCTTCCCTCCGGGCCCCCGCCCGGCCCCGCAGCCTCACGAGCCCCCCCCCCCCACGCTGCAGGTCTCGGCGCGGAAGATGGCCGGCGGCGTGGACGGCCCCATCGGGATCCCGTTCCCTGACCACAGCAGCGACATCCTGAGCGGGCTCAACGAGCAGCGGACGCAGGGCCTGCTGTGCGACGTGGTGATCCTCGTGGAGGGCCGCGAGTTCCCCACGCACCGCTCCGTGCTGGCGGCCTGCAGCCAGTACTTCAAGAAGCTGTTCACGTCGGGCGCCGTGGTGGACCAGCAGAACGTGTACGAGATCGACTTCGTCAGCGCCGAGGCGCTCACGGCCCTCATGGACTTCGCCTACACGGCCACGCTCACCGTCAGCACGGCCAACGTGGGCGACATCCTGAGCGCCGCCCGCCTGCTCGAGATCCCCGCCGTGAGCCACGTGTGCGCCGACCTCCTCGACCGGCAGATCCTGGCGGCCGACGCGGGCGCCGACGCCGGGCAGCTGGACCTCGTGGATCAGACCGACCAGCGGAACCTGCTCCGGGCCAAGGAGTACCTCGAGTTCTTCCAGAGCAACCCCATGAACAGCCTGCCCCCGCCGCCGCCGCCGCCGCCGCCGCCTTCCCCTGGTCCGCCTTCGGCGCGTCCGACGACGACCTGGACGCCACCAAGGAGGCCGTGGCCGCGGCCGTGGCTGCCGTGGCCGCCGGTGACTGCAACGGCTTGGACTTCTACGGGCCGGGACCGCCGGCCGATCGGCCCTCGGCCGGGGACGGGGACGAGGGCGACAGCAACCCGGGTCTGTGGCCGGAGCGGGACGAGGACGCCCCTGCCGGGGGCCTCTTCCCGCCCCCCGTGGCCCCGCCGGCCGCCGCCACGCAGAACGGCCACTATGGCCGGGCCGGGGAGGAGGAGGCGGCCTCGCTGTCCGAGGCGGCCCCTGAGCCGGGCGACTCTCCGGGCTTCCTGTCGGGCGCGGCCGAGGACGGGGACGGGGACGGGCCCGATGCGGACGGGCTGGCGGCCAGCACGCTGCTGCAGCAGATGATGTCGTCCGTGGGCCGGGCGGGGGCGGCGGCGGCGGGGGACAGCGACGAGGAGTCGCGGGCGGACGACAAGGGCGTCGTGGACTACTACCTGAAGTATTTCAGCGGCGCCCACGACGGGGATGTGTACCCAGCCTGGTCGCAGAAGGTGGAAAAGAAGATCCGGGCCAAGGCTTTCCAGAAGTGCCCCATCTGCGAGAAGGTCATCCAGGGCGCCGGCAAGCTGCCGCGGCACATCCGGACCCACACCGGGGAGAAGCCGTACGAGTGCAACATCTGCAAGGTCCGCTTCACCAGGTGAGCCTGCAGGGCCGCGGCGGGGCGGCGGGTGTCGGGGGGCGGCCGGGGGCAGCGGGGGGCAGAGGGGGAGCCATGGGCAGGGGGGTGGCCAGGTCGTGGGCTGAGACCGCAGCCACGTGTGCACCCCCCACCCACCCACCCCGCACATGTAGGACCCATGCGGGAAGAATGGTGCGTCCTGTTTTGGGGCCCTGCCTGCCCAGCGCCCCTGGGGAGCAGCCTTCGGGTGGGGGGAGCGTGCAGGCTGCGGGCCCGACCCCGGGAGGCGGGAGGGAAGGGCCCAGGGAGAGTCGCTCGTCTTTTCCCCGGGGGGTTCTTGTCGTGGGGCCTGGAGTGGGTCTTTGCCTGGGGAGACAGTGGCTGCCCCGTAGGGCTCAGGGCGCTGTGCTCTCTCCTGGAGGCCGCCGCGGGCCCCGGGGACTCACTCTACGGGCCAGCGTTTGCGGAGCACCTGCTGGGAGCTGGGGCCCTGTTCTAGGCACCAGGGACCCAGAAGGGGGGAGATGCGCTCGCATCCCCGTGGGGGGTGATGGGGCGTGCGTGAGATAAAACCACAGCACTGATAACGAGTCGGCAGGGAGAAAGGGAGCAGAGGACAGGGGCGCGGCGGCAGGGGAACGGCAGAGCGAACGGCCGCTGCAAAGGCCCTGAGGCCAGTTGAGCGCGGAGGGTCGCGGCAGCCCGCGGAGCCACTGGGCAGGAGGAATTGGAGGCCAGGCTGGGGGAATCTGTGATCGGATCTTCAGAGTCCAGGGCTGGCTGGCCGGGCCTCGTGGGCCAGCCCAGTGGGGGTGGGGGGCTGGCGTGCAGGGGCCTGGCCAGCCTGGGTGACTCAGCATCACCCCCTACCCCCACCCGCCCTGGGGTTCCCCCAGCCACCCCCACCCAAGCTGAAGAAAGAGGCCATTGTCCCGGCTTCCCGGCCCTGCCCCGTGGGGACAGGACCTAGGGGCTGACCCCTGGCCCCCTCCCCAGCTGGCCAGGAGGAGAGGCTGTGGCCCAGACCACAAGGCCCAGGAGCCCTGGCAGGGGCGAAGGCTGCCCTGGGGACGTAGGCAGTCTGGTCAGTGGCCCAGCTCCCATCTGCAGGTGAGGTTGGGTGCTGGCGGTCTTGGGGCCACCTCTTCCTCCATGCAGGAGTCCTCGGGGCTGTGGGTCTGGGAGGGCCAGCCTGGTGGAGGCCCAGCAAGCCAGGGTCTGGAGAGGGGCAGGCTGAGCAGAGGCCCGGACCCCCCCCAGCACCCCTAACCACAGCTTGGGGTTCCTTCTGACCTCATGGTCCCCCTGCTCTGATGCGGGCTGATCCTGTTTACCAGTCAGGGAGACTGAGGCACGGGGAGGGCCACTGGGCTGGGCCTCTTCCCCCGTGCACCCACCTGGCTCCACTTTGCCCCCAACCCAGGGGCCCCAGCCCCCACGCCTTCCTCCAGGCCAGGGAGCCCAGGGGCCCCTCTGAGTCACACTAGAGAGTTGAGTAAGCGGGGCCTGTGGCAGCCGGGGCTATAATTACCCGGACAGGGCTTGGGGTGACGAAACAGGCTGCTTCCACCCCCACCCCAGCACCGTGCGGCCCCTGGCCCGCTGTGCAGCTTGGGGCAGGGCACTTGCCCTCTCTGAGTCTCACCTGGGGAGATCTCTGCGCGGTGCTCAGTCCCCGCTGTGCCCACCTGACCGGCCCCCCTGCTGGACGAGCACGTTAGTGCCCTCGGAGGGGTGCGGGGAGGGCGCTCCTGGCAGTCGCATCCTCTTGCTGCCGACTGACCCGCTCAGTCCAGGGAATGATGAGTTCACTGCGGCCTGAGTTCTGTTGACTCACGTGGGAGTAATAAGGCTGGAGGACGAGCAGGGGTGTGGCCGCCGAGGGCGGCCTTGGCCCTCAGAGCAGTAGGGGCCACAAAAGGGTTAGAGCAAGTAAGGACAGCAGCTCTGTGGGTGATGCCGGAGGGAGGGACCCGGGGCTAGAAGAGCCTGGGGAGACCAAACCTTTGCCTGAGGGGTGGGAAAGGCTTCCTGGAGGAGGAGGGCATTTGAGATGGGGCTTTGAAGGATGAATAGGAGTTTGCCAGGCCTGGCACTGACCAGGCTGGTGTGTGTGTGGGAAGTGAGCGGCCCGGGGTGGCTCAGACGTGGGACGCAAGAAGCTGCAGCGAGGAATGAGTCAGACGCTGCCTGGGCTCCAGTGACCCGGTCTCTGCCCTGCCCCGTGGGTCCAGGCAGGAGTCCTCTCCCCGTGACTACAGACCCAACACGGTGCCACAAAGCACCCTGCGGGGCACTTGTTGATTTTCCATTTTCTGATAGCCACGTTTTTAAAGAAGTACAAGGAACACGTGAAAATAACGTGAATCACGTGAGTTAAAGTCTTTGTGTTAACGGTTAACGCGTAACTAGTGTGTGTATTTCCCGTCACGCTAAGTGAATGGGGGCTTTGGGGTCTGGGTGCCTCCTGTGCTCCTGGCGCCTCAGGCGGGGCATGCCACGTGTCAGGGCCCGGGGGCCACGTGTGAGCACGCGCTGCCGGATGGGACGGAGCAGCACCTGTGCCGTGGTCGCCTGAGGCCCATAGGTGGAGCCGGGGTGACAGAGCCGCGACGTGCTGTTCCCCGTGGGGCAGGATGGGCGGGGAGGGGGTCCTGGGGTCACCCAGACCCTGCTGTCTTGGGGCTCACGGTCCAGTCCGGAGGACAGATGAGGAACTAGGAACTCGGTTCGCCAAGGAGCATCAGGCGGTGGTGGCAGGAGGGCCATGGGGCGGGGGTGGCTGTCGCGGGTGGGAGGGCTCTCTGAGGAAGTGACAGTTGAGCTGGGATTCAGACGTGAGGATCTGGGAATAAAGCGCTCTGGGCAGTGGCGGGAACAGCCTGTGCAAAGGCCCTGAGGTAGGCGTGTGCTTAGCGAGCTGCGGGGACAGCCAGGAAGCCGGTGCGGCCAGAGCAGAGAGGGGCACAGGTGCTGTGGCCTTGGCAGGGACTGGGGTCCGGGGGGTGGAGGCCGGCCCCTCGGTGTTAGGAACCAGGGCCGCTGGTGCCCCCACGTTACCACACAGCCCGGCACCCCAACTCGGGCCCGGTCGTATTTCGCGGTGCCTGGAGCGGGTCCGGGGGTGCTCCTCGCAGACCCCGTGACCTTCCTCCTCCGATGGAGGCGCCGTGGGCCCCGCGCCCCCCTACCCCCCGGTGCCCCAGGGGTGGGTCGCCCCCGGGGCGGCGCCCGCTGACCCTCACCCCGTCCGCAGGCAGGACAAGCTGAAAGTGCACATGAGGAAGCACACGGGCGAGAAGCCGTACCTGTGCCAGCAGTGCGGGGCGGCCTTCGCGCACAACTATGACCTGAAGAACCACATGCGCGTGCACACCGGCCTGCGCCCCTACCAGTGCGACAGCTGCTGCAAGACCTTCGTCCGCTCCGACCACCTGCACAGACACCTCAAGAAGGACGGCTGCAACGGCGTCCCCTCGCGCCGCGGCCGCAAGCCCCGCGTGCGGGGCGGGGGGCTCGGGGGGCCCGACCCGTCCCCCTCCCCGGGCGCCGCCGCCCCGCCCGGCGCCCCGGCCCCACCCGGCTCCCCCGACGCCCCGCGCAACGGCCGGGAGAAGCACTTTAAGGACGAGGAGGAGGACGAGGAGGAGGCCCCCGACGGCCTGAGCAGGGTGAATGTAGCGGGCGCCGGCGGAGGGGGGGGCGATGGGGGCGCCGGGGCCCCCGCCGAGGGCAGCTTCGCGGCCGGACTTGCCTGAAAACCAAAAAGAGAAAACAGAAACCCGAGAGAGAGAGAGAGAGAGACAGAGAGAGAGAGAGAGAGAGAGAGAGAGAGAATCACCCACCACCCCCCCAAAAACACAAAAAAAGAAAATCTATCTATATACAGATATCTATATCTATATATATATATACAGATATATATATATGAAGCGTCACAGAATCTAGGGTAGTGCTTTTCTCAGAGTTTTCTCCTTCATGATGTTCTCTCCCTCCACGGGGACCCTCGCCCCCGCTCCGGCTCCCCGTCCCCCCACCCCGTCGATGGCTTTCGGGGCTCGGTTTGGGGTTTTTGTGGGACACAGGGATTCGGACGCCCCCACCCCCTGGGACACCCCTGGCGCAGCGTCCGGGGTCCCCTCTGAGGCCTGGTCAGGGCCCCGGACCCCAGGTGGGGGTGAGGGTGGCCGCGGGGGGCGCTGGGGAGTGGGGCGGGCTTTTGTTTTCATCCCCTCGCTGGTTTCTACGAGTCTTTCAGACAGGACCTTAAATGATCTCTGTCCACTGTGAGTGGACGTTAAAATGCACCCCGTCCCCACCCCCACCCTCCTTCCTCAGGGCACTTACTAAGTGGGGGTCCCCCCCCCACCGATCTCCCCGACGGCCTCCCTGCCTCCCGTTCCTGCCTGTGGTCCTCTGTGTCTCCTGGCCGCTGTGACACAAATTTATTTATTTCCAGGCCTGGAGAGAGGGGAGCTGGGGCGGGGGGTCGCCACAGCGGCTCCCGGGGGCTCCCGCCGCCTCCCTTCACGGCACTTACACCCCGGCGGGCCCCCCACCCCGACCCCACCCCGGACCGCCGCTCAGGGCGCCCCGCCACCCCGGCCGCGCTCCCCGACCCAGGCCGCCCAGACCCCACGAGATGTTTGGAGATTCAAAACTGTTTTGTCTTCACTGCCCGCCCACCCCCAGCCCTCTCCCGAGTTTTTAAAGCACTTTTTAGATTTTTTTTCTCCTTAAAAAAAAAAAAACAAACAAAATTTATATATAGATATATATAGATATATATATATAAACTATACTTTCCTCAGAGGAGCAGGCGACAGTGTGGGGTGGACGAGCCCAGAGCAGAGGGAGCCCAGGGTCTCACGGTGGCAGGGAGGAGGGGAGAGAGTCCAGAAGTTCCAGTGTCACAAAAGCAATAAAAACAAGATTTTACAAAACGAAAGGAAAAAACAAAAAAAACAAAAAACAAACAAAAAAAAAAGGAAAAAAAAAAAAGACAACCAACCACAAATAGAAGTCTTGGCACTTTGTAACAGAACGGGTACTACACTTTATCTTAATTCTTAATTTAAAAACATGTTTACAAGTTGCAACCAACTTCTATGAAAAGTCGAAAAGACAAAAAAAAAAATAAAAATAAGAGAGAGAGCGAGCGAGAGAGAGCGAGCGAGCGAGAGAGCAAACAAATTCCTAAAAGTCAATTTATTTTTGTACAAAATAATAAAAAAAAAAACCCACCACAGACGCAGAATCCACTTCTGTTCCCCGAGGTGAGGCGGGGTCAGGAAGGCACGGGCCGAGGTCCCCGGGCTCCTCTCGGGGCTTCGCCGCGGGGGGCTTGCCTTGCAGGCAGGACCGCGGGGTTTTTGTGTTTCTGCCGTGTCCCCCCCACCCCCACCCCACCCCCACCCCCACCCCGTCCCCTTTTTGGTTCTGATTCGGAGAAGTCTCATCACCCGCCAGCCATACGATGGCCGCCCGTGTCCGCGGGGACCCTCCTTACTGACTCCCCAGCTCAGGGACGGACCGAGAGAGGGCTGGCCTTCCGACCAGCCGGAGCAACCCCCCCACTTTGGGGCTCCCCCCCAGCATGGCTGCCCCCCCCCCCCGCCGCCGCCGTGGCCGCCAAGGAGCCGCCATCTAGGACATGCCATCCCCGTCGAGGTGGGTGACGGGGCCCCACCTCCAGGGCCTTACATCCCCCAGGCACCCCTCTTTTTATTCAAGGCACTGACTGTAATCTGGGGGCCGGCACCCGCCTCCCCCCAGCCTCTGGCCCCCCAAAAGGCCCGGTATCGACCGAGCCACAGGCCACGGACGGGGGCCAGGGCTGGGGCGACCGTGTTGCCAGAGGCCAGGGCACCCTCACCCCGATGCCCTCTCGCATATGCAATGCCTAGCGTGGGACCCTGTAAATAGACGCTCTGCCAAGCCGAGACCCTCCCCCATCAAAGCCCAAGGTGAGGGGTGCCCCTGCCCCCCCTCCAGCTGCTGGTCCATCTCCCCGCACCCCTTGGCTCTGTGACAGACCCCGTCTTCTCGTCTTTTCTTTCTTTCTTTTTTTCTTTCTTTTTTTTTAAAGGGAAGCTTTTTAAGAAGGCAACTTTCATCATTGTTTCTACAGGATAGTTTTCGTGCCCCACCCCACCCCCCGGGCCCATCAGCCCCCCAAATGTCTCAGGACCCCCCCTCCTGAGGGGGGTGGCAGGGGAGCCCAGGGCCGGGTGGCCTCGCTCTTTCGGAGAACCATCTGTGGAGGCCAAGCAGGGAGCTCAAGCGCCCAGGCCAGGGACCCCCGCCCCCACCCCGGCCAAGAGGTTCCCTGAGGGCGCGGCCCTCTCCCCCTGCCCTACCCCATACACCCCCCTCGCAATAAAACCAACTGAAAAATCACAGCTGTCGTCCTGGCCAGTGGGGGCGACTGGATTGGGGGATCGAGGCCTCTGGGACTATGGCGGGGGAAGGGCTGAACCCCCCCGCCGAGCACACTTTTAACACAGACTTCCTCGGGAATTGCACTAAACCCCTGCCCCTAGCTCTGAGCTCAGCTTCTGACAGCCCTGCCCACCCACTCCGCCTTAACCCCTCTCCTGCTGCCCGCCAGCCCGTCCTAGGGGCCGCAGCGTCTGCATGGGCCCAGCGCCGGGACCCCAGCCCCCCAACTCTGCGCAATCACATACTGTATATAGACGTGGATCGATTTTATTTTTATTCTTTAAATTAAGGTCGTGATAAAGTGTTGCCAAAGATACTGCTGAATTCTCGCGTTTCAGGAAACAAACAAACAAAAAAAAATATTTGAGGGGGAACGTGCTGACTGGTCAGAAAGGACACAGCAAAACGTTTTTTTGTTTGGTTGTTTGGGGTTTTTTTGTGTTTTCTTTTTTTGGGGTGTTTTTTTTTTTTTTTAAACTGCCTGGTACAAAAAAAAAAAAAAAAGAAAAGAAAAACAAAGCGAAATTGTTATTTCCATCATCTTGGTGAAGTTGCGTGGATGTGTGTTGTGCGCGCGTGTGCAAGAGTGAGGTCCCGGCCTGGGGTTCCAGGTGGGGGCTCCGGGGGAGGGGGCACTCCGGGGGCAGCCCCCACCCAGAGCCGTCCACCGGCCTGCGGGACCTGGGAGAGAGAGAGAGGTGAACACCCTTGCTACTGCTCCCTGCCTAGCCTCCCCCACCCCAACCCTGACCCCGCCTTTTGAGATTAAGAAAAAAAAAAAAGGCAAAAAAAACAAAAAACAAAAAAAAAAAACCTTAAAACCCAGTGAATGTAAAGTGCCGGAGCAGACCCAGCCTGGCGCGGGTGTGGGCCTGCGCCCAGCCGGGCTCCAGCAGGCCGAACCAAAGTCTGCCCGCCTTGGGGTGGCTTGCCCGGGAGACCCCATGTGGCATCTCATCCCGTTTCCGTTTGTATATGGCTGTCCCTTTGCTTCCTTCTGGGGAGGGGGGGGCCCCCAGCCCCTTCCAGGGCCTTCTGGGTAGTCTTTGCCTACTGAGACCCATCGACCGTGGCAGGAGTGCGGGAGGGGCAGTGTCGGACAAGTGGCACGCGGTGGTCCCACCGAGGCAGGGGCTGGGGCCAGGGTGGGGGTGGGGGGGCGGCCCCCCCCAGGACCAAGGCAGTCCAGGCAGCCAGGATTGTAGGAGGCCAGACAGAGTGAAAGGAAAAGCAGGACAAAAAATTTAAAACCCATAAAAAAAAAAAAAAGCAAAAATCCTATTTTTTGAGAAAGAAAGATATTTATATTTGCAGTTTTATTTTAAAAAGTTATTTAAGCTGAGGAAGCAGCCTTCCTGGAGGGGCGGCTGGCGCAGGACGGGTCAGGGCCTGGGGGCTCAGGCGCCCCGGGAGCCATAACCTCAGAGTTAAGACTAGCTCGTACTAAATACTTAGATTTACACGGGGGGTGGGCGGGCAGGGCCAGGAGCTGGAGGGGGCCCGGGAGACCCCCGTCCCGGAGCCGGGGCTGCCTGGAGGCCGCGGCCAGGGGTCCTCATACCCAGGTTCCCCCCTGCCCCTCCCAGGCCCAGATAAGAGGTGCCTTGGACTTTGGGGGGGCCGGGCCGGTGAAGGGGGGGCAGGGGCGGCGCCCGGGGGCACAGAGCACAGAGCAGACATTCCATAGACTGTATCTGAGAGTCTTTATAAAAGTGTGGGAGATTAAAAAAAAAAATCAATTGATAAAAATGCACTTTTTGGGGGTGGGGGGGAGAAGCTTTAAAAGTAATAAAAACAAAAACAAAAAGACAAAAGATGAAAAACCAGACAAAAAAATCATTTTTCTTGTACATAAAAAACCACTAAACGCAGCCTGTTACGAACGCTGCTGCCTCACTTGCCTGATTTTGATGTTCCTTGTGTTTTGTTGGGGGAGGGGAGGCTGGGGGCGGGGACGGAGGGCCTGGGGCCCCTTCACCGAGGGGCACCCCTCATGCACCCACGACCGTGGGGCCCCCCAGCTCAGCCTGACCCTGCCCGCCAGGGGCCTGGGCCCTGGGGAGCGCCAGCACCGGCAGGCCTGGGGCCCCTGCCGAGGAGGTGACCCACATGCCCGGCTTGGGCAGGTGGCACCAGGAAGGGGCCCGGGGGCGGGCAGGGAGAACTGGCCGGACGGGCTTCTCGGTCACCTCCAGCTCCAGGGTTTCCGGAGGCTGGGGGCGGGGCGGAACCCCAAGTCCGTCGGAGGCCCCCGGGTGCGGCCCCATGCTGGGCCCCAGGCACACGATCAAGATCTGAGCCCAGATCTGCGCGGCCGGGGCACCGCCACCCCCAGGAGGAGGGGGGTTCAGGCCGCGGTGCCCACGTCCGGGCTGGGGTTACCAAACACGGCCACTTGCAGGGCCCCGAGTGGGGGGTGTGGTGACAGGACCCAGGGGCCGAGACGGCCATGCCACGGCCTGGAGAGCACTAGTGGGGGCTCAGGGGGGGCCTCGGGGGCGCGGGGGCAGGCCACCTGCCCCTGGGCCTCCTTACCACCCCGCTGGGAGGAGGGGTGGTCTTTGAGTGAAATCGTGTTCACACAGGACTCACCCTGAAACCAGGGGTCTCAGCGCGTTCCAGGAACCCACCCGTCTGGTTCTAGAACATTCCATCAGCCCAGAAGCCCGACCCACACACACTGCCCCCCGAGTGCCCTGTGCGTGGACGAGCCCGTCCTGGCCATGTCACACATGTGGACTCGCGGCCCGGGGGGCCTCCCGTGTCCAGTCCATTCCATGAGTGTCCTGGGCTCGGGGTCCGTCCCAGGCCGAGGGTCGCACCCTTTATCTGTCATCTGTCGCCGGACGCGAGGCTGTGCCTTCTGGGCGCCCGCACATGCGGTCCAGACCAGGAGAACTCGTCTTGCCGACCTAGGCTGGCACGGCTGCCCTCGGTCACTCCGGGTCTCCCCGTGGGTCACCCGTGGACCTGTCCCCCGGGGCGGTGGCCCACGCCCCACCCCCGCCAGCCACACAGGATGGTCGCCCTCCCGCCGCAGCCTCGGCCGACACTTGCCGCCGTCTGATCGCAGCCCTCGTGGCGGGAAGGCCGCGGCCCATATTTCCCCGTGACCCCTGAAGCTCGGCGTCCTCCCGCCAGCTGCCGGGCCACCCAGGGGCGCGGGGACCGTCCTTGCCGGGCCCAGCAGGACGACACTGGGCCCGAGGCGCAAAGCGACGAAACCTTCCGCACTCGACCAAATGCCGCGCCTCCTGCACCGGGATCGTCGTGCAGCCAAACGGGACGGTGAACCGGCAGCTTGTGTCCCGTGATCCGTCACCCGCAGCCAGCGCCCCGACACACAGAGAAGCGGACGCCTCGGTGGCTTCACCTTGACCTTTTTTATTTGCGTTTTTTAAAAACAATTAAATTAGAATACAAATATTAGAAAACCGCGGCCCGCAGCTGCCAGTGCAGCCGGAGGGGAGCTGCACAGCCGAGTTTATACAGTAAAACTGAATTTGCCCTCGGCCAGATTGATGTCCCTTTCTTCTTCAGACCTGAAACGGTATTGCTTCCTGACTAGAAGAGCTCTGTTTACACAAAGGAAATTATTCTGGGGCGGGGGGGGGGGGGCAAGGAAAAAAAGCAGAACAGAACGGAGGGCAGAGGCGGTGGGAAAACCAAGCGTGGCCTCCAGAGGACACGGATGCTGGGCGGGGGGCCGGGCACCCAGCTGTGGGTTCCTGGAGGCATCTGGGGCAGTTGTGGGGGCCCCCCGCGCTGGCCGGACCCCCGAGGCCAGGCGAGTCGCGGAAGGGTGGCCCTTGGCCCGGTCCTGTTGGAAGACGAGAGTGAGGCTCCCGGGGGAGGGGGGGCCAGGCAGGCCTCTACCCGTCGGAAAACCCAAGAGCAAGAAGAGGGGGAAGGGGCCCCCCCACGTGGAGAGGGTGGGGCGGGAGTCCCTGCTGCCCCTCGGGTAGTGGCCGCCCGCCCGCCCGCCCCACCCGCCGAGGAGGGCCGGTGGTGGTGGTGGCATCTGTGGACATCTGCGCTGTTCCGTAGGGAAGTTAACCTGAATTGGAGTTACCGAGGTAGCTGGCTAGAGAACTGAGACCCCCCCACGCCACACGCCGCCGCACCCTGGGGCCCCCGCCTTCCACGGGGGGTCCTGGCCACATGCTGGGTCTTCAAAATACCAAGTTATTGCACTTTCAAAAAATACAACACATCTGTGGCTAAACCCTCCCCGGCCCCCCACCCCCGGCCCGCCCCCCCGTGCCCCCCCGCCCCCCTCCCCGCCCCAACCCACTCCATGGCTTCTTGGCTAAAATGCTCCCTGCTCGGCGGCGCGCTCCAGGGTCTCTGGGCGAGAGAACGTGTTTGCAGAGAAAAAAAAGCAAAGGAACAGACGAATGTCAAAGTCGTGGCTGCTGCCAGGGAGGGGGGCCGTGTGCCCTTCGGTCTCCCCGCTGCCCCCACTACCCCCACGCGCCCCGTCCCCCTGCACCAGCTGGAATGGTCACTGGAAGAGGCGAGGCGGGGCGTCCGAGAGCGCAGCCCCCGGTCTGCCCGCCCCTGCCCAGGGCCGGCTTCGGCTCCAGGGCTCGGGCTCCGGCTGGGGAAGCAGCTGTGTGGGTGGCTTGCCTTGTTTGAAAGAGTTTGATTTTTTTTTTCATTTTCATTTTTTTTTTTGTACTTTTTTTTGTCATTTTACTTTTTTTTAATCCTCCGATAGGAGAGTCCAGAGGTACAGGTGCCAGGAGCCAGGAAAAGGGGTGGAAAAACAAAATGAACAATAAAAAGAAAAAAAATCACTCCTCCCTCTGTACCCCAAGGCCCGCCTGCGCCCCATCCGCGTGGGTGAGCACCAGGAAAGTCGAGTGTCCAGCCGGTGGTGGTGGTGGTGGTGGTGGTGGTGGCGGCAGCGAGCAGTCAGCAGGCCGACACCAGGCCCTTCTGGAAGGGACAGCGTCGCTTGGGCCGGGGGCCCTCCTCATCCTCGTCCTCCTCGTCTTCTTCATCCTCTTCCTCCTCTTCTGAGGATGACGAGCTGTCCAGCGTGAGGTCCACCACGTCGGCTCCTGGCTTCCCGTTCTCAACACCGCCTACCGCGCCGCCCCCTCCACCAGCGCCCCCGACTGCGCCGCCGCCACCACCACCACCATTGACGTTGGGGGTGGACAGGAGCCCGTTGGCGTCCGAGGTGCCTGAGGGCAACAGGGAGAGGTGCTCGCAGCAGGGACACGGAAGCCAGTGAGGCGCAGGGGCCCGGGGACATCCCCTGCGCCTCCTTGATTGCCGCTGGGTCCCCAGAGTCCCGTACAGGGCCCGGCACACGGCGGGCGTCCCGTCTGCCCCTCCCTCAGGAGCCCACTCACCGAGCACGAGGATGGGGCACTGCGGGCTGCAGCTGCGCTCCTTCTCGGCGCGGATGGGGCACCACGAGCCGTCCACCAGGTACTCGATCTCGTCGGCATCCTCGCACTCACTCAGGATCTTGGAGAGGAGCCTGGGGGGGCGAAGGGCTGACTCGG